GTCTAAGGTTACTGCTTGTACATCATTGCATGTATCTGATTAAAGAGCACAAAGGTCATTCAAGAAGCCTTTGGTAATTCCCAGAGTGGAATCATGGATATTGCAATTGTCACCAATCCAAATATGGTAGCCGCCATTGGCTGCTAATTGTTTGATTACTTTATCTTTGGCCGATATGGGCCGTACCTAGTCTTGGCTTTGAGAGACGTTTGTCTCCTTTTCCATTGATTCTGTTCCATGCTGTCCAGCAGAACATTCACTTTCCTCTAGTTCTGTGTTGGTTCCTGATTGATTTTATTCTTTTTTATGATTTTTAAAAAAATTGATGTACACAGTAAAACTATGAATGAAGTTTATTATTAAAAAGTTGTTAAAGAATTCATCCCTTTCAATGGGGAGTTTTTTGTTTCAGTTGAGTGTCATCCATGCCTGACAAGGACAAGTTAATATCAGTTTTGTTTCCTGATCAATCTTAATGTTCAATTTTTTTAATTAACAAGAAAGATTCATGATTTAGAATTGTGCAATACTTTCATGTTTCTTCTAACCCCCATCCCCTCCCTATCAAATGGGAATTTTAATACACCGGTATAAGGATTGTTTTGTGTTTATTTAGAATCACTGTCAATGCCACTTTATACAAAGTATTGTCTTTTACAAGGTATTGTATTACATTTTAAAGCAACATCAAGATTTAGGCTGTAATGGGTCTGAATTTAAGTCTCAAGTAGTGCAGGAAGGAGGGAGAAAAAAAATCACAGTTGGCAATTTTCCAGAAATAAGCAAGCATTGTTCATTCAGTACTATGGTCTCATGCAACATGAGTGGACCAGTGATATCTTGCAAGAAAGTCGTTTGAAAAACAAGAGTTATTAAAATATTATGGTTTACTTTCTAATTTAAATACAATGTCTTTATTTATGAAACTTGTGATAACAGGAAATCTTGTGCATGCATGGCAAGTTCACATACATTTATTTATGCTAGTTAAGTGAAAGTGAATCTCTTCATTTATCATGAGGTACCATGACAAACTTCAACATTTGTTAAATGATGAATTACTAACTTAACACCGGGAACACTTAACACTCGTGGCAAAAAAAATATTGCCGGCCGCAATGTAACAGTTTACAGTGTAGCTCCACATACATGTAATGTAGGCTTGTTATTGACACACCTTTTTCAAATTCAAGTAGTCTCAATTGAAAAATTAAAAAATGCAAATAAATGTTTCCTCTGCAAGGTTATGTGTTGTGTGGCAGACTGTCAGGTACATGTAGCATATGTTCACCGAATTCATGATATTGTCTACTTCATGCATGCTGGTATCATTTAGCTGTTTTGAACATCAATGTCACATTTAATTATAAATGTATTCATTTGACACTATTTTGCCTAGAAAGGTTGTCAACTGTGACATGATGGTTTTAATGCTACCAATAAAATGTCCTTTTAAAATTCTCTTGATGCACTAAATTGAATATTATAATTTATATTCATATAAAGTATATCCAACACTTTCTCTGAATTTTTAACCCAATGTATTTTCAATGAGATGATTATTATAATTAGAAAATCGGCAAACCTGTACAAAATATTTTGGCACATGTGTGATCATAATACATCATATCAGTAGCAAAAAAAAACCAAGTAGATGAGATGTGCACTCTCTGTGACGACAATGGTACAACCTACACACCAAGTACTCTTACTACGTGCACGTACGACACACAGATATCAGTGTGTTGTGTTGTTGTAGAATAGATACCAAGTTCAGTCTATCCAGTGCATGCATGCATCATGAATCACACCCAGGTACTGAGTATACTCTACCTGTTTACAGTATATTGTAGTAAGCTTCTCACACTCAAAGTAAGCACATAGGTGCTACTATGCATTTCTGCTACAGAAAGCAGTGTAATACTATACTAGATATATACATTAACTAACCCTGGTTCAATTTTCTGCATTTTTATGAAATGATGAAAGCCAACTGTACATGCCCTGGCAATGTACATGTATGTGTATTCATTTTTATGCAACATCTCATTTTAGGCCTAGACTTGTATAGATCTGTGAAGAGATCAGCAAACAAAATGATATGTACACATGTGTAGGTTGACAAGTATCTCAATTGTACCCTTAATTTCATTGCAAACATAGTTCAAGCAATTATTCCCATTTTTATAGCTTTGAATGCCCTTTCAATGCCCTTTCAAGCCAAAAATCATTTGCTAGATTTGTTTAAAAGTCATACTGTTTTATCTGTTGAGTGAATTTGACAGAAATTGTACACTCTATTTATAATTAACCAAGCATTATGAAGAGCTAGGTCGGTTCCTTAAATGTAGTCCCAGGTGTATTCATTTTTGTGAGGTTTTTTTCTTCGCTTGTTCTTCTTCAGATTACAATTTTTTTGGATGTTGCATTTGCCCAGTCAAGATAGTAATGCATATGAGGTCATTTACCCTAGACAATAAATTCAACAGCCATACCATCAACAAAACTACATGCACATTCAATCAACCTGATGTTTGTCTAGACAATAAATTCAACAGCCATACCATCAACAAAACTACATGCACATTCAATCAGCCTGATTTATTAGAAGTGAATTTTGAAGAGGCTATCACTATCACCATCGTTCTAACGACACGTCATGCATCAGTTAATGGTTTTTTTTGTTACATGTAGAAAGAATGACAGCATGAAATGTGCGTACCGTAATTAACGGTGTATGAACCGCAGCTTTTTGCCGCCGAAAAAATTCTTTAAATTTAATTTTTTTTTTTTTTTAGGGTTTTGATTTATTCCCCTCCACCTGGCGCTATGCCTGGCAATGTCTCCCAGCTCAGTAATCGGTGTGTTGAATCACCACTCAGAAACAACACTCAAATTTGTCTTGTCATCTTAGTTTGAAAGTAATCTTTCTGATAGATCTCAATATGTAGTTTATAATAATAATTCCTCCAATTTTTCTTCTTTTACACGGCTTACCACAAGGTTCTATCCTAGGTCCTCTTATGTTTTTATGCCTCCGTTACGAAGTAGCCGGAGGCATTATGTTTTCGGGTTGTCCGTCCGTCCGTCTGTACGTACGTCTGTACGTACGTACGTCTGTACGTACGTACGTCCCGTTCTCGTGATCGCGTTATCTGAAGAACCGATTGATGGATTCCTACCAAACTTAGGTCATGTATGTATCTTGCAGAGCCAATGAACTGATTAGATTTTGGGGTCACGAGGTCAAAGGTCAAAGGTCACAGGGCTCATTATGTATGCAAAAACAGCTCGTGATCGCGTTATCTTAAGAACCGATTTATGGATTCCTGCCAAACTTTGGTCATGTATGTATCTTGCAGAGCCAATGAACTGATTAGATTTTGGGGTCACGAGGTCAAAGGTCAAAGGTCACAGGGCTCATTATGTATGCAAAAACAGCTTGTGATCGCGTTATCTCAAGAACCGATTGATGGATTCCTGCCAAACTTAGGTCATGTATGTTACTTGCAGAGCCGATGAACTGATTAGATTTTGGGGTCACGAGGTCAAAGGTCACAGCGCACATTATGTATGCAAAAACAGCTCGTGATCGCGTTATCTCAAGAACAGATTGATGGATTCCTGCAAAAGTTAGGTCATGTATGTTACTTGCAGAGCTGATGAACTGATTTGATTTTGGGATCATGAGGTCAAGGTCAAAGGTCATGCGGCTCATTATGTATGCAAAAATAGCTTGTGATCGTATTCTCATTGGAACAGATTGATGGATTCCTGCCAAACTTGGATCATTTATGTATCTTGCAGAGCCAATGAACTGAGTAGATTCTTGGTTCATAAGGTCAAAGGTCATGGGTCATTATGCATGCTAAAATAGCTTGTGAACTCATTCTCATTAGAACTGACAGATGGATTACTATTTAACACAGGACATCTTGCAGAGCCAATGAACTGAGTAGATTTTAGGGTCATGAGGTCAAAGATCAAAGGGTCATATATGTATATGAGAAATTGCTTGTAGGCCTAATCACGATATTCTGAGAACCTGTTAATGGATTACAATTGAACTTGAATTTGAAAAATTTCTTCTGTTTTGGTTTGTAAAATTGCTCTATGACGGAGGCATCATTTTCGACTGCGCGCAGTCGAATTCCATCTAGTTTTAATTTACATTAATGATCTTACACATTCAGCTGCACCTCGCAGTTAAATGAAAGGCCTTTCCGCGTGGGTTTTTTAACACAGACCTGGCTTGCTGCCTGCCGACAGAGTCGACAGAGTCGGCATATTTATTTATTTATTTATTTACCGGTATATTATTTTTTATAAGGGCGAAAAAGAGGGGTGCGGTTAATACACAAGGGCAGTTTATACACCGTTAATTACGGTACATGAAGAATAAAGGGATAAAATACAATTAAACCAGTAAAGACCTCTCAAGGGAGACAAGAAAAATGGTCTTTATAGGCAGGTGGTCTTTATGTACAGGTTCCTTTAGTACAGGTTTCATTGAGAAAACATTTTCTAGGGAAATGAAAAATGTGATCTTTTATAGACAGGTGGTCTTTCTATACAGGCGGTATCTAAAGCAGGTTTGAATGTATGTATTTTTTTTTTGGGGGGGGGCTTTATGGGCAGGTGATCTTTATGTACAGGTTCCTTTAGTATGTACAGGTTTAATGAGAAAACAATTCCTAGGGAAATGAAAAATGTGGTCTTTCTATACAGGTGGTCTCTAAAGCAGGTTTGACTGTATGTACATATATATATATATATTTTTTTTTTTTGGGGGGGGGGGTCTCAGCAGTTCGATGGCGTAGAAATTTATTCTAGATATGCGCACCTGTCACCAAGGTAAAGAAAAGAAATTCTGTATTTACTGACTACCCCTTTATATAGATAAATCTAGTGCACAGGTGGCAACTCTCTCATCCTACCCAATGGGCTTATACTGTACAGCCTCATGCTGACATTCTGTACGTTGGTGGGATGGTGACGCCATACAACCTCCCTTCCATTGCATTCCATATGCCTACTTCAGAACACGTGGAAGCAGCAAAAGGATTTTGGCAGAGGGGTAATTAGACCGGCCTGCTAACATGTGGCAACATTTTTCTGGAAGATGAAATGATGTGTCACATTTTGTGCAGCTGGACGCAAATTATCAAGGATATTATCAATGACATTGGTAATGTCGGGACTATTCAATTTGAATTGACAAGCTGTACTGAAGACTCTTGGAATATGGAACCTATATTACGGTCTTGGATATTATATTTTTATTGATGATATACATCAGCTGGTAGTTACATTGTATGCCTATGCTGATGCACTTGGTGTTAATGGGTTATTGGATACATTGACAGATGTTAGACTAGTTGATCAGATTCCTATCGTCAGAGGAGGAAAGAGAAGACTATATTTTTAGGATATATGTAGGAATTATCAACTTTCAGTATGGCTGTGTCTGGAAATGTATGGAACTTTTCCAGTACAAGTCTTATGAGTAAGTATGGAGGATTTTTTTTGTAAGTGATTAAAAAAAAAAAAACATGTACACAAAATTTATAGAGAAATGATAAGTAATGGATTTGATAAAAATGATGAAAAAATGATGCTTTACAGAAATATTACTTTGGTCTTGAGATTCAGGCTTGCCCACATACAATGTGTGCAACCTCTCCACTCCCTGAGGAGTATTCCAGCCAGGTGTCACATGTGCATAACACTGAACAAAGTAGGGTTGAGGGGTTGGGGATGCATTTTTAAATAATAATCTGTAAAAAATTGCTCTCCATTTCCTAATAAAAGTGAGAAAAAATTGTCAGGAATGATTTTATCTCTACTTTCCAATATTTTTTTCTCTGCCTCAAACTTGTGACTTTCTACACCAGTGACTACAGTAGTTGAGCTGTCATTATTTTTCTTTTTCTCCCACACATGCATGTTTGTCACATTAGTGCATGAATCATGAAACCCCAAATGCAAATAAAATAAAAGAATTTGACTGGTTGACATTGGGATAATTGGATTTGCACTTGCATTGTAACAATTCAGAGTGGAGGCTGTTGCCCCATATTGAACACTTTACTTAGCAAACATCATGTCAAATATGATCATATGCTGTTTCAAAGAAGAGGGAGTCCCATCACCTCCATTTTAATTAAATATTGTTATTTTGGATTACGAAAAAAAAAAAAAAAATTCCAACATGGGAGAATTTGTTTGTCCTTTGTTTATTTCTTTATATCCAAGATATACTTAAGATTTTGCATTTTTAAAGATTCTTGTTGCTTAATTATAATTAATTTTTTCTTTCATGTCTTTTGCTTATCTTTATCGTTCGAAAAAGGTAAGGATTTGTGAGACTTCACAAGTTATTTTGGAAGTTATATTCTTTCTGCTAGCTGTTTGCCATGCCGACATGTGCACCTGTTTTTTTCTTTTTTCTTTTCATTTCTATCACTGGTTTTGTGTGTAAATTACCTTCTTTTTTGTTAAAGGCTATTTAATGTTTGACTTCCTTCTACCTTTTAATGGCGTTTTTGGAAAGAAGTGGCTTAAATGGGTTTTTTAAAGGGATAACGTAGCTTAGCTTATGTTTAACTGAAAATGATAGTACTTAATAAATGCTAAGGCAATTTATAGTTATGCTGTGAGAGAAAAAAAAATCATATCAGGTGGGAGTTTTGTTTTCAGTGAAACAGATTGATGTAATGTGTGGGCACTTATAAAATTATTATTGCGAAGTGTCTGAAACCAAAAGATATTAGAAATAATAAAGAGAGATTTCTGAGCTTTAGAGCTCAATGAATTTGATCCACATGCTGTCATTCATGGTTATTAACCAGTAGGGTCAGGAGCCGTCTTACCACGGCTACAACATGCACAGTATGAAAGTAAAAGAGATGCAATAAGCCACTTCATACTGTAGTTGCAGTCTGAGCTGAGCATGAGCAGATTAAGGTCATTGCAGACCAAATTGTGAAATACACAGTAGACAAAATACTGGATACTTGCTCATGAAAGTTATGTAATCACTATTCATTTATTCACAAGCAGTGCACTCCATGATACTCGGTGGAAGTATTCTTTGAAAAGGGGAAACAAAGGCTATTTATGTAGCACTTCCATCGCTGTAGGAGTGATTGTTTCAAAATGTACACAGTGGGACTTCTTAATGTTTTGAAGATCTGTGGATATTCGGGGTCATTATGGAAATGTGCTAACCGTGAACTGGTCTATTCAGTGGTGCAGGCAACTGACTGATGGGGTCCCATGAATATACTTGTTTGAGCATGTGAGCTTTATATACCTTACAGAATAAGGCTAAGAGAATCTTAAGTTGACCGGCCATACATGTAATCCCGTCATTGAAAGTCAAAGAATGCATGGGAATTTTCTGTCGTGAGTTCTGCTTGACTGGTTTGTCATGGTCTGTCATGGTTTATTGGACAAGTGCAAAATGTAGTATGAATGCGTAAACATTTAGTACCTGGGTTGCAGGTTCGATGTTATTTCTAGGGAAACTGTTGAGAAGTTGGTCTAGACTCTAGAGTAAATAGTGATAATGTGGTTAATGAGAATTGAATATTTAATTGAAAGAAACTGTCATTGTAAGCTACACTTGTAATTTGAATAATTTAAAGATATCAAGATATTCATCTGGCTGTGCTTTAAATTACTGTTTATGATTACGTTTTTTCATGCTTTTGGAGTTCGACAGTGATGTAAAATGTTAGCTACAGAATCTTCTTGGTAGGATAATCGAATGATTGTAAAGTTTGAGCAGTATTTTATGCAATTAAAGTATTGCCTCATTTGAGTGAATTATGAAACAAGATCAAGATCACTTTTATGTCAAACTGCTGATCAGGGAAGTTCTTATTAACTGGTTTAAGTTCCTGCCATCTGTGGACAACGAATTCCACAGGTTAAAAATAAATTGTAAAGACTTGTCCAACTAGGAAGTGTTTCATGTCACATGAGCCAATCGCCTATTGCTAATATTTCTGTAGCATGTTGCAGTGGCAGTTGTTGCTTTAAAGGAAAGCTTCAAGCAAATATTATTCTGATATCAGAGAGCAACCTTTTTTTTAATGCAAGATGTTGGAATTTTAAACACATTTCACATTGGGTTCGATTGATGCTCCTCCTTTGATATGCTTTTTTAAATGTAAACTTTGAAATAAGGAACGACATGTACAGTGCATGTAATTACATGATAGTGAAGCTTGTGGTGACATGATACGTCAACAGCTGTGAATTAAAGTGCAGAAATCCTGCTCACCGATGCATATAATGCACAATGATGTCATAACTGCAGAGATTCACGATGTACATTGTAACTGTGCTGAAGAACCATGCAAAATCGTGTCAAGGCTACAGATGTCAGAGCGACCGATGATTAGCTGAAGATCCCAACATGTTCATTTTGTAGTTTATTCTCAGGGATCGTTGGAGTGTGGGGAAAAAATTAGAAAATGAGAAAATCAGGACAGCTCATGCTGTGCAGACCTTAATTAGTCCCAAGTTTAAAAAAAAAATAGGGATTTTGACAAGTGAGATTCCATCACTTTGAATTTGATTTTTTTTTTACCCCTGAGATGACTTGGATTTTGCTTTATTATAGATGAAAAAGGCTTTGCAAAAATATGAATCAAACTCACTGAAGCATTAAATGTGGTTTTAAATTCTGATTGAATACTTTCCCTCAAAGAAGTAAATATTTGAATAGATTTCCTGATATTGTTTATATGACTGTATCAATGAATAGCATTTTTTGTTATTTGGTAATTTTGGTTTTTATGGATCGGAGAATTCAGAGTACAATATTTTGCCTATATGGATAGTGGAATGAGAAGAGGATGAGACAGGTTTCTAACATCAGTGCTACATTGAGCTACATGTACATGTATGATACCTCAATATTCTTGAGAGGAAATAAAACTAATTAATTCCCCTTTCATTTTAAATAAAGAGTGTGTATTCAATTGTCCTACTAGGAACTGTGTCCATAAAGTCTTCAATTTCAAACACATTTCATATGTAGTCTAAATTTTTGATGAAGATTTTTTTTCCCCCTGTCAAAGCTTCCCAATAATGATCTTTTTCACAATTCTTTTCTACCATACCTCTGTTGCAGAGTTGACATGATTTATGTTTCCGTCTAGTCTGGTTTATGTCTTGCTTCGCTCAATACCTTTAGTCAGGTATCAGTTTGATACCAGTTGTTGTTGTTTAAGTTTATAGGCCTTTTTCATTCATAAGTGAATATTTACGCCCGTTTCACAAAGCCTTCTTTTAATGACAAATGACAAAAATCAGTGACAAATCTGCTGATAACCAATCAAAAGCAAGGATTTCAGTAGCTTATAACAAAAACTGTCATTTGTTACTGATGACAAGTTTTGTGAAACGCCCCCAGTTCTAGATCCAAGCTACATGCTCACTGAAAATCTCATTGTTTTATCTTGACAGAACCCAAGGAAAGCCCGGCACCCGTCGTCGTCGTTGCTGCGTCTGTACCAGGGAATGCTGCTGCAGCTCCGTCCGTTGTGAAGGCTGCTTCCAAGGGCAAGAACAGTGTGGTAAGTGGCATATGGATACATTTTACTCCTTATTCACGGCACGGCAGACTGAAACTGTCTACTGCCACATTGCATGGAGCGTATGCGTTCAGTACACATCGTGATGAAAGTTGACCGTGCCAGGCCATAGTTTGTTCCATTAATTGATCATAAGCAGACAGAGTGAAGAGGCAATACACCGTATTCATGACATTGACCATCGTTGGACAAAGGGTCTTGTAAAAAATGCAGAAAATGGCTGATTTGGTAGTATGAACCAAAACCTGCGCATATTCACTTGAAAGAAACGAGATACACGCTTTCATTTCGTTTCTCCCACTCTGAAATGACTGTCAATATTTAGAATATAAACTGCCTTTTCTGTTTCAGACTGCATCTAATATTTACTTGTACTTGCTTCAAGCCTTTAATCTGTTAAATATTATTTTTATTTTCTCATTTGCATAAAAACAGATTTATTTATAGTAGGAAGTAATGTAATACCTCACTTTAGCTGAAGGTGATATCCGTCTTTGTACTGGGTTATGATGCATATATAGACTGGATTGTTATAACCAGCAGATTCAAGACCATATGTTATGATTGTCATCTTTTGCTTTATTTCTCTATTACAAGTACTTCCTCAATAACCTTTCCAATATTAAAGAGACCTGAAGGTGATACTCAAAACTAATTTTAATGAAAAACCGCCCACTTTGATGTCATCATCCAGAATGTGCAGAGCATCTTAGCTTCTGGAGTTTTGAACTTTCTGAACACATATGAGGCTTTGCAGAGCATATTAACTTCTGGAGTCCGGTTTTAACTCTTGATATGGAATGTTATGCGTGACATAAAATGCACTTGTGAATATTTGTGTTTGTCTTTTGTTGCAGGCGAGTGACTTCAATGACTTGAACAGCTGGCCTTCTCTAGGTGCTGCAAAAAAAGATGGATCCGTAAGTTGACTCATTTTGCTTATCTTTCTCTTCCACTTTCACTCATTTTCAAGTTACAGAAGTGATTAATTAGCAAGAAAGGATACAGCTAGGTAAAAAAAATTAAAAAATAAGAGCGAGTTGTGATCTAGTTCAGGAAAGCACTTAAAAATCCTTGGAAGATGAAGAAATCAAACAAATATTTTCCCCCTAAGGAAATTCAAATTATCACATCATTCAATAAAAAAAACGGATCCCCTGAGCAAGAACATAATTTTTGCATGAGACATAACGGTCCATGAAAGTGAACGTATCCTTGCAAGTATAATATTTTTTTATAAAATACTATGTAGGAAATCTTCAATCCGTTCTTCCTGGTATAATGTCCTGGTATAATAAGGAAGCAATTTATCTTACAAATGAAATGCTAAACCAAATGCAAATTACTTTTAACCGCACCAAGACCTTTCTACCATTGAGTGGACTCTGATTGATGGATGTAGTGGTATTGGGTACCAGCAAAAAGGATGCTTTTGTCATATCAATGTCTTCTCTTTGATTGAGAGCAGTCATCTATGAAGCTTCATTGGTGTAGTGTTGGTTATTCTACACATGTTTGATCAGTTTTTATGATGAGGTATTCTAAAGTTGCTCTGTTATTTCCTGTATGTCCATGTCATTCTCAATCTTTTCATCATGTGAAAGGTATTATTTTACTTGTTTAAAAAAAAAAAAAAAATCAACTTTGAGTGCTATGGGGAGAATGAAAGTTAAGAGTAATTAATACATAAATTCACTTACAATGTACATGTAGGGGGGAAAATGTAGCAGACTACATTCAATTTGTTGTTTGTGTTTGCCACATCAACAGAGTATACAAAATTATTCACAAAACATATAATTATGGTAGTAGTCTACAGACGTCTAAAATATTTCTTTTAAGCCTTTCGGAAATATGTGCAGATGTGTGCAGAATTTTGTCATTTTCACTTTGGCTTGGAAATATGTCATAGAACTTATGATGTGTTTAATATTCTATATAGAGGTCATAAAAGGGTTCGATTTCAGTTGGAAAGTAATTTTTTTTTTGTATACCATCGATATATAAGGTCTCATCTTATGCTCCTTTTTCTGGTATCGATAGGACCCCCAATCTCCCAGACGCAAGAAGGAAACCATCCCTTCCGGATCCAAGACCCCTCCTGCCACCTCAACCACGCCCCCACTGGTGGCCGAGCAGGTAGAGGCTGCCCCTACGCCCAACACTTCCGCTACCATCCCTACAGCTACTGCTACCTCGCCTAGGTCACCTAAGCCTGCCACAGAGGACCAGGCTCCACCACCAGCTCCTCCTGCAGTTCCAGCAGCTACACCTGCAGCTGCTCCGGAGGTCACCAAGGAGGTCACGTCTCCCAGAGTCAAGGCCCACCGGTCGACAGCGTCATCCTCAGAGAAGGACAAGCAGATGGAGGATGGAAAGGCTGATGGACAGAAAGGAAACAAGAAAAATCGTGGTAAAGGTATAGATTGATGTGAATGTTAGTGGTGACAAAAGACAAGAATTTTTTCTTTCACTTGGCAGGAATTAATTCTTTGAAATGCTAGAGCGCCAGAATGGCAGCACAGCTAAAGCCAGTGTAATAATCTCCAAGTTTGGAAGCGCTTAGTGATTGTAATAAGCGCTATGTAAAAACTGAGTATTCTTATTATTATCATGCGTCAGTGTCTAGTATGAGCCCTCAATTTTATTTGAAATGAAACAGTATGTGCAGCCTTGAAAGGTGACCACATATAACCTTTGGTCTGTTGCTATTGGATGATAACTTGAGCTAAAATCCTAGGCAAAAGGTTGAAATAGTCTTCTATTACGTCCTGACTGCAATTTAGCTTTAGTGTATTTCCCACAATGGGAATGAATATAGGCTATTTTGGGAACTCAGTCTTAATTGCCCGTAAAGATTTAGTTTGCATTAGCCTCCTTTTACAACTGCAGAAGTTTGGAGGTGTAGAGTAAGAATTTGGGTGCCTATGTGCATAAGATACCAGTTCCTGTGTAGTTTTGTTTGGAAATGTGATTATTGCTACTCACAAACTGCATTGTTTTTCTATACAAAGCAGACAAGAAACAAAAGTGGATCCCCCTTCCGCTGGACCCAGAGCCTCGAAACAAGGGAGGCCGAGATCGGGACCGTGACAGGGGACGCAACGCCTCAGGAGGCGGGAGAGTGAGGGATAGCCGGCCGGCGCGAGACAGCGAACGTGAGATGAACTGGCGTGATGTGCCACGCAGCACTGGTTCTGAGCCAGCTAAGAGGCCGGAGCGTCCTCGTGGAGATGGTAGGAACAGCAGAGAAACGTTGACGAAGGGTAAGGGTAATACCATTTCATCTAGCCATTAAAAGGATGGAAATTATCATTGATCACGAAATACTAATCTTTTGTTTTGTTTATGAGCCCATTACAAGCAATTCTCAATAGTGTATAATTTGAAGATAACAGAATAGAATGTACCCAAACATTCTCTGGACGTTACTCCATAGGATAAGGACGATGTATGTCGATATAAGGTAGTGCAAGTATTGCTTTATTCTCCTGTTTTCTTATTCACGTGGCATTCTCACTTCTAGCTGAGATTGAAATTCTGTGGATCTTTATTTTCATCTTGGTTGTTGAGAGCCATGTATATGGTGGTCAAATAAGTTTTAGAATTGTGATGAAGAGTGTTGAGAATGTACCAAAATGTTATTTCTAGATGTGTTAAAGAGGACTATGAATTCACTGACCACAGAAGCTATGAATATCAAAACTCTGTATACTACCGTAAATCTCCGTGTATAAGACGCACCTTTTTTTGTTTTCCCCTGCCGCCAAAATAGGGGTGCGTCTTATACACAGAGATTTACAGTACCTTGTGATTCTACCTTGTACAGCATTTCAATTTCTCAAAAAAAACTTCTCTCTTCCTTTGATTTTCCTGACAGCCGCTGGCTTTGCACCTCCCAAGGACGAGAGGAGTCGCAGCCCGAGTGCATCCAGCGCCGACAGCCGGAGTTGGCAGAACCAGCGCAGCTACCGGGGCAGAGGCAGGGGTAGAGGTAGGGGCGGAAGAGGAGGACGAGGGCGTGGTGGGTACTCCGGTGGCTACTGGCAGAGCAACAACGTGGATGTCCCAGTAACAAATAACAACGAACAAAGTGAGTTCATGCATGCAATTAGCTTTTTTATACTGGGACTTATTGATTAACATGTTTTGTTTGATATACTCAAGTATGCCACTTTCAAGGTTATTGTCCGAGTAAAGGCTCTATCTGTGTTCTAGGCTTTGTTGGCCTTTTTATTGAGGCCTTATTATGAAGAAAAACATGTGACACTTTTAGGCTCATTGGATGAATCAACAGACTTTAAAAGTCTTCTATACTGCATCAGGCAAAACAATTTGAAGAGAGGAATTTATCATTGTGAAAGGGTTTTTTCACAAGTTTTTGAAATTGTTCATGTCTGTTTTAGAGAGAAGGTTGAGTTCTGGGAAGAGGTGAAAAATAATTTGTTAGTGTAATATGGCAAGTAACATAAAAAATCAGGTCAGATTTTAATGCCACATGTTTGTGTAGTCCCATATACATCTTTCTGTGTACAGTGCTTGTTACTTAACCAAGAGTGGGCCAAATTTCTTATCATTTTGAATATTTCAGAACTTTGCAGTACACACCAATACTTATATGCTAGATGATCAACCTTTCCTGATCAATTCCACAACGTTTCTTTCACAATGCATTCGCATGACCAGAACTCAACTTTATCTTAAAGACTGAGATAAAAGGAGATGCAATACTTGTATATGATCATCCATATAAATCATTCTAGTCATTTTACTTTATTATGAATTATTTAAATTATTATTATGTTATTTAAGCCATTGTTACCAGGTAAACTAGAAATTCTGGTATTCAGTGTGAAGCAACATCTTTTCTTTTCCTTCACTTCCCAGCATCTCCAGATTCTGAATTATTCCAAGAATTTGTGCCACAGTACTATGACCTGGGCAGCGCTGAAGCCGCAGGAGCTGACACCGGCACCGGCAATGGAGTCCCTGCAGGCACCGGCACTCCTGGTGCGGGAGGGGACGCAGACTTTGAAACTCCACAGTTTGTGACACCTCAGTACAACAATCCTGTATTCTACGATGGCTCCACACCGGTGTTTACCCCTAGCGCCGCCTCGACATCTCCATCATTCTCCCTGGATGAAGGCACTCTCAAAGACTATGTCAAAAAGCAAATGTAAGTTATGGAGTCTTGTACATTCATGTCATTGAGGAACACTCTAAATTGTTCATTTATCTATCAGATCGTTGAATTGTTTTCATGGCTATGAAATTAATAATTGAAGAGACATAGATTTTCATGTGTCTTCTAGCTTAAATGTGTTCCTTCATAATTACAGAGAACACGTTCAAAAAGAAAAGCAATTTTTGTAATGCTCCCACTTTTCCTTATTTTTGGACACAAAATAAAACAAAATACATGTCGACATCATAAAAGGCACTGTTCAATTTGCGAATCTTAACCATGTCCTGTTTAAAATTATATTTAGAAAAAATGAACGTCTCTTGTTCTTAATCACATTTTTTCCTTCCTGTGTTTTATTTTACAGTGAATACTACTTCAGCGTAGATAATCTTGTGAAGGATTTATTCCTGAGGAAAAAGGTAATGTGTACTTGCTATTTTGCAGAGAGGGAGGAAAGAAAAAGACGATTGAAAATTTAATATATTAAAAAACTAGAGCAGGGGTTGACTAGCCCAAATTTGAATAACTAATCCATAAGGAAATACTTCAGGGGATCCTTCTGTTCTAAAAAAACAGACATTATGTAGCTCATTGTAAGTGCCTTGAGCACTGTTGCTCGTTATAAATGTCTGTATTATTATTATTAAAAGAAAACACCTAAAGGCTTTCACATGCTGTGATAAACCATGTCAGTTTTATGTGTACTAAGTGAATGGCAAGTGCAGTGAAAAAAAGCAGCTGTGCCCAGCAAATGTCATAATTATTAAGATATAAAAATGTGAAGTGCAGTATACTAAAGTTTGGTTAAAACAACCGTGGTAAAGCGGTGGTTAACCGTGGTAAATTTCACAAAGCCATAATAGTATGGAGCATTGATGTGTGGTTATTATATTACCAGATTGGGATGGGTAGTTACTACCAGTAGGTTATGGTCCTTCAGGAGTTGCATTTAAAAGCATTCACTTGAATAAGGTATTGCTACATTGAAACCTGTCTATAAAGACCACACATGGGAGACAAGAAAAGTGATCTTTATAGGCAGGTGGTCTTCATGTACATGTTCATTTAGTACATTATTTAATGTATGATGATGATTCAATGTATGATTCAAACAAAAAAATGTGGTCTTTGTAGACAGGTGGTCACTAAAGCAGGTTAACTGTATGAAGTATGAGTATGAAGTTCAAGCTCTGACTTGTTGCTGTATTAAAGACATACATGCATACTCCTGTATTAATTCCATATCTCCATCTTTTTCTCACTGTTCAGATGGATACCGAGGGCTACCTCCCTCTCAGTCTCATCGCCAGTTTCCATCGAGTCAAGGCTCTGACTAGTGATGTTGGCGTCATCACCACGGTAAGTTTTTATCCAACAGATGACGATTACTTGTCTAGAATAGGAGATGTACATGTAACTAGGATGAGAATTGATACAAGAATTAATCCACAGGTTTCTTTTTCTTTATGCTGAAGAAATCTTCATTGTTCTCTTATTGTAGACAATTAGACATTTGTAATTTTCATGACTTGTACGACTTGTGCCAAATAAGTGATTACTCAGGTGCCATTGTCTGCCAGTCATGCTTCAGGGCAACCAAATACAGTGCGAGTCAAAAAAAAGTTTACACCTCGAAAATTGCTAATTATTTTTAAAATCATCTATGAACAGTAAATTATTATACATCTTATGAAAGAGTGTTTTATCCCAAATCATTTGGTACCATTTTTGTGTGATATGTGTTCACGCTTGGATGAACAAGAGGCATTGTTTGCGAGAGTGCAAAAATCGACTTGCGCCAAAGTGATGCTTTCAGTATGTATTATGTTGGGATTAGCGGAGTGAGAGAATGGATTGAATGTATCAAATGAATTGCATAGCATATGTTTTTTGCAAAGGGCAAAGTCACACACACCCACACACACGCGCACAAATGTTCGTTGATATTTGATATTCGATATTTGATATGTGTGGCATGATTAATTTTGTTAGGGGTGTTATTTGGATCTGCAAAGACCGAATTAATACCCAAATCCAAATTGTTTTATTCAAACATCACATAGGCAACTTTGGCGCAATTCGATTTTTGCACTCTTGCAAACAATGTCTCCTGTTCATCCAAGCGTAATCACATACCACACGAAATGGTACCAAATGATTTGGGATAAAACACTCTTTCATAAGACATATAACAGTGTAGTGTTCATCGATGATTTTTTTAATAATTAGCAATTTTCTAGGTGTAAACTTTTTTTGACTCACACTGTAGTTCTCTCTTTGGCTGACAGCTAAATATCCTCCGAAAAGAGAACTTTGTATGAGTTCATACATACAGTGTGCAACCCACTCACTGTACATAACCAACAAAAGGTGAACGTGGCATCCCAACTTCAAATGAGAAGTTAGGCGAGAACCTTGCTGTTTTGGATTGAGTACATCACTTGCATCCCCTCCCCCACCCCTCCCCCACCCCCACACACACATTTTTTTTGTGGTGTGCTCCTAAACAAGAGGCAACATTTGTTTGCAAAGTATACGCAGCACTAATGTCCTTTTGCAAGACGTTAATCTATCTTTGCCACTCTCCACCCAGGTGTTAAATGGGTACCCGGTAGGATGCGAAAGTTAATGTGGTTAGATGAGCAAGTGTGTGCTTGTAAAATAGCGACTGGCCAGAATGCTCCCCAGGGAGTGGAGAATGTGCATACATTGTGTGTGGGGAAGCCTGAATCGGATGACCGGGGTAATAATATATTTGTAAAGCGCTTAGACACATTGTTGGATCGCTGAATTTGGCGCTATATATATGGCGGAATATTATTATTAATATATATGTTTCCTATATAAATTTGACATACATAAATTTGTACTGATATCTCTCCCAACCTAGGCTCTGAATGACAGCACCGAGGTGGAGTTATCATCTGACAAGTCAAAGGTACGCTGCAAGCTCACCCCTACACAGTGGGTCATAAATGACCCTGGCACACCCACCAAGATTGAGCTCTCCTACGACAGCCCCGAATTCATCCCTGGCAAACCCTACCCTTACACCTCGTACAATAACGACACAGGTGGGTACAATTTGCTAAGTTTTCTAATTATCATTATCATTATTATTGTTGTTAATGCTCATGCATTTATATGGCATGTTTCGCATTGTCATTTTTTAATGTGTGATATAGTTCTACTCACAAAGACAGTCTAAAGATGCAATGAAAAATGTGACAATGTGAAGGGTTGGATAAAGTCACGATTAGACGCGTCCTAAAACTAGAAATCATTGTTTTGCCTTTAAAAAAAAAACCTTCATCGATATCATGTTCCTTTAAATATTTTATTTGATAAAGCATTAACTTCTAGAGTAAACAAATCCCATTTGCTGAGATTTTTATGAAATTCTGATTATCACTACATGTTTCTTGACACCCTTTGTATGCAAAACATTGTTTCATCCAGCAATTGCAATTTTAGAATCTGCATATTGTAAATATTTAGTCATGTCTAGAGAAATTGAAGATAAACTTGAGTTCTGGTAAAAAAAAGAAAATGAATTCTCACAGAATCTAACGAAACTTACACTGAATGTTCAAGATTACAAATAAATGTCATGTGCCAAACAATTTTGGAAGGAAATGTATACTGGCTGAGTAATGAGCATAGAAAGATAAGGAAATCAGGGTAGTACTAGCCCCGACACTATGTGTGTTGTCCCATATACATCTTTCTGTGTAAGTGATTGTTACTTTACCAAGACTCTGCCAAATTTAAGATGATTTTGATGACTCCAGAACCTTGCATTACACACCATTACTTACATGCTATATGATTAACTTTTCTGATCCATTCCACACCTTTTCCTTCACAATTCGATTGCATTACCAGAACTCAAGTTTATCTTTAAACTCACTTATTTAGGTGTTTCTGATTATCCATTTAAAACTTGTTGACACCTTTACTAATTAAAATCTCCCTCTACCCCATGAATGTAAATATCAGAATCTGCACCTGTGTCCCCTACACCTGTTGAGAACATTCAGTCCAGTGAGAGGAGTTCCGAGAGGGAGGCCACCGGTCAAGGGATGTCCAGCATGAGGGTACCCATGACCCCAGGACTGTCCACCAGCCTACCAGAGAAAGAACCAGGAAACTGGACAGAGGTCAAGAGAAGGCATAAAGCCCCAACTCCAAAGGATAAGGTATGATCATTGGTCCTTCAATTCAGTTCAGTTCAGTTCAGTTCAGTTCAGTTCAGTTCAGTTCAGTTCAGTTCAATTCAGTTCAGTTCAGTTCAGTTCAGTTCAAGTGTATTTCCACTCAGTGACACGTAAAATAAATCATAACTATGTTCTTGATGAGCATATGACTTCAAATTCAAATGGTGGTTGGTTATTTTACCTGACTGCTAAGAAAGCACAAATGCTCGTTAGTTAGCAGCCAGACGGCTGACGGCTTTAGGTCCTCTCCGGGGGACCTGGTAATGAGGATTAATGCCTTACCAAAGGGCACTAGCGCATCGCCTTTGTTTCAAACCCGGGTCACCGGATTACGAGACCACTGTTCTACCAACTGAGCTATCGCGCCTCCCGCATTCAATAATTAATTTTGTTACTGTTTCACTAGGAGTGCAAGGTATTATCCCATCTAATTGCCACATCTTAACTCCCATCTTGTATTGCAGAAGGTCGCATCATCGCCTCAAACAGAATCTCAGCAGGAACGTTTTGAAGGAGCCGCGGAGGAGCTAGACTTCCAGTTTGACGAGGAGCTCACCGAGATCACCGGCAGGAAAAACACTTTCTCTGAATGGTGAGGATCCAATTTATTACAGCTTACCTTTAACCCATTGACATCTGCATTCTCTCATTCATGTAGGCGTTAATGAGGAAGCCACCTGGGGGGCGTTTCACAAAGCCTTTTTTCAATGACAAGTGACAAAATTCAGTGACAAATCTGCTGATAACCAACCAGAAGCAAGGATTTCACGAGCTTATAACAAAATTTGTCATTTGTCACTGATGACAAGATTGGGTGTTTGGTGGAGTTAAGTCTTTGTGTTTCCTGGAAAGCCCACATTTTCCGAACATTTTGATATCTAATTCTCATTTTTGGCAAAATATGGAGTTACATCTTTGTGTCACTGAACCCTCAAAATGTTTGACATTGTATCATCGCAGGTCTGACGACGATGACGAGGACTACGAGATCTCGGACAATGACCTCAACAAGATCATCATCGTGACCCAGACTCCACCCTGTCTCAAGAAGCATCCGGGAGGGGACAGGACCGGGTACCACGTCTCCCGCTCCAAGATGACCGCCAACCTGGCCAAGGTCATCAACGATGGACTCTACTACTATGAGATGGATCTATGGGACGACGATGAAGAAATGCTCAAGGTAGGAGAAATTACTCTTGTCTGTGTAGATTCAGAAGCATAGCTAGATGCTAATATACATGTCTTGGAAAGAATTAATCTTATTTTTAGGCCTTCAAACCATTACTATAAACGTTAAATTTTTTTGGGTGAAAACCTTGATTTAAGAGCGTAGAAAATTGCTGTGGAGAGTTGATAGGCATGCAGAAAGGGGGCAACTTCTGTGTAATGCCCTTCTTCTGGCCACCTGTCTGTTATGGCTCTGTATTTAGTCACATACACTAAACAAATCTCAAACACAAAAGCACACATATGGGACTAAGTATTCCATTAGTCATTCCTGCCAACTTAATCTTGTCATCTTTCCTTGCATACCATCTGTTGAGGGCCAGAAGAGCATTAGCTGTATGTTATATCACTTGCATTAATGCCATTGTAGTTCTCAAGAGGCAATAAGCTCCTCTCTTAAAAATGAATAGCAGAGATTGTTTCTTTGTCTTGAAAGTCTGTATGGAAATTGATTCTGTGAAGAAGAAAAAAAAAGAAGAAGAAAAAAAGCCATTTCCATTACTCAACCTTCTCTTTAATCTTGTGTACAGTATGACTTGGCACTGATGGCAGCGGCCGGTGCCCCCCATACGGCTTTCAGCAAAATCCAGACCATCACCAATGAAGAGTTCTCCTGCCTGACACCAGAGAAGCCCCACACCAGGCAGGTGATACCCCCTGCCCCGCCCCCAGAGGGCATCCCGGAGGAAGGTACCTCTGCCCAAGAGGGAGAGGAAGGGGGCATCCCCATCCAGAAGAGCGCAGGTGGGTGTGGCTTTTTCTAGATGATTTTTCTAGATGGGAGTTATTAAGGTTGTCATTCTCTTGGAGCACTTGTGATGTGAATGTCTAAAATGCAAACACTTTGCCATCAAAATCATTGGTTTCTTATTAGCCTGTGGGCTTCAAGTTAGCTACTTTCTGGAAATTCATCCTTATCCAGTAATAGCACATGGGCAAAGATCTTCATATACCATACTTTTATAAACAATTAATTCTTCTTTGACGTTGGAGACGCATTGTCATATTAACAACCTTGTCATGTGTTAAGTGACTCAGTTTGCAGAAGATATTTCCATTCGTTGCATAATTCAGTTCTTATCCATGTATGTGCCAAGCACCTCAACAAGATTTGTGTTTTAGTAAAGCTACAGTCACAAAGGTTTGTACGAACCGAACGGTACAAATCTCCGTTTTTCCATGGTCTGAAAATCGTTCGTATGGCGTTCGTAGCAGTTTGCAATGGCATTTGTGACCTGAGGCTTCAGGTATCAATTCAAATTGCGGGAGCAGAATTGTACATCATGATGTATTCTTATATTACTTATGTGCATGTAGTTCAGTTATATGGTTATGAATGGATTATCTGTTTTTATCATAACCCCCAGTGCGTTCAGTGAAGGCCGATTCCTCGATGGTAGCGAGGTCACTACCCACAGCGGTCCCAGAAGGCCCCCACCTGCGTGAGGCCATGAGGACACCACGCACCCCTAGGGGTAAGGCTCAGATGTCACCTAGGTTCTACCCGGTCATGAAGGAGACCAAACCCATCGATAACAAGGTGAGATTACTGACCAGTATAAACGGAAGGTTTAGTTATGGTAATGATAACAAATTCAGAATCCAAGACAATTATTTACACTATTTATAGGTTTATACATGAAAAGCGTCTTCAAATGATACTGAGGAAAAATGTGTCGTTGCTGAGTAATGAGAAAAATTAATCAGGCATTCCATGAAATGTGAGAACTTAGTCCAGACCACATTTGTTGCTCACCTGCAATGTTGTTTCATCTGTATGTATCCATGTTTCCTTTATTCAGGAAGTTTTTACTTTCAGTTTTCACAGTTTGGTTTATATTTGGCTGGCTGATGTTATATAACAATTAACAACTCAAAATAACTTTGTGATAACTTGCGTACACAGGTACTAATGGGCATACAGTTTTAGTCATCTTAAAATATAAGATTTTTATTACATTTTGCCCTGTCTGAATCTAAACATGGTTTCATGATATTACCAAATGCTTTAATTGCCAGTCAACTCTTCTTTATAAATGAGGTTCTTATAAAACTATTTTCATTTCCAGTCTAGCGACCACATTTTGATGCTGTTCCACATTAATGGGCACCTATTCTTTTGCAATCAACTCTATTTTGTACTGATTTTCTTTGCAACAACAGACTCCAAGGAAACGCAAGACCAAGCACAGTGAGGACCCACCTATAGAGAGCCATGTTGGTTGGGTGCTGGATTCAAGAGAACATATAGCTAGGTCAAGACATACATCCACCAGGTAAGATCTTGATCTTGATCCCATAGTTACCAGATGACCATCTCCTAACTTCAACTTAGACCAAACTTTAACCCAAAACCGTAGCTAAGACCCAATCATGACACAAGCTTAAACTTTGATCTTTGATTAAATAAAACCTGGAGTGACTATTGTCAGTGCAAATGTTAATCACCTTACGAAGTCTTAACCACTGACGATGTCATTTAGTTCTGGGCCCTGTCTTAAATTATCAATCGCAACCATGTACATAAAAGATAGGAGACTGCACACTTGCGATTGATTTTCATAGATCATAATTCTTTGTAAGACAGGGCCCAGGTGTGTCAGTCATTCATTCACTGTCTGAACAAGGGTTCTCTACAAAAATTAAAATAATATGCCCCTGAAGAAAGAAAATGTTAGGAGAAATTTGGATGCCTACCAGAGCTGTTCAAGTATCATGTTTGTACCATCTTTCCTTGAGTCTTCAGTTACTATGAGCATTCTTGATCAGATTGCTTTGGTAAAACTCTCAATTATCATTGGATTATACAAACACCTGTTTCTAGTTTCAACTTCAGTCTGCATTGTTATATATATTATTGATCGATGCTGAATTTATATTTTCCATTTTTATGCCTTTTCAGTTCACCATCTGAGGGTGCACCAATCAGCACCAGCTATGGTACTCCACAGAGCTTCCCTAAGTTTGAGCATCCTTCCCACGAGCTTCTCAAGGATAACAACTTTACTCAGCATGCCTACCACAAGTTCCATCAAAAGTGTCTCAAAGGTATGCTCACTTTTGCCCAGACATTTCAATCTTCTTGGCTCTAGTCTTGTGCTTCCTAACCACAATCGTTTATTAAGACAGTCAAACCTGTCTATAGCGACCGCCCAAGGGAAACACAAAAAGTGATTGTTGTAGATAAGTGGTCTTTGTAGACAGGTTTGACTGTATCTTGTCATTGTGATAAAGAAGTCTCAGTCATATTGTTAATGTAAAAATATTTTGTAAATTCTTTTTGTCTTGGGGGTCTTGGTATAACCAACATTTTATAGATTGGATGACAAGGCCTGAAAAACTGTGAGACATAACTGCTCTATTTTCGAAATTCCTATTTGTTATTTTAATTCAGTGCATACATGATTTCTCATAAAATGTGTACAGGTTCTCACTTTCATCTCTTTGAATAGTGATTAAGCTTTTCTTTGTCCCTCTTCAGAAGACAAGAAGTTTTTAAAGTTGGGATTCAGTCGCAGGGCAGTACAAAATAAAAAATTTAAAAAATGTTCCTAAAAGTCTTGATTGAATATTTCCCTACTCCTCTTTAGACCGCAAGAAGCTTGGCGTTGGCAAGTCGCAGGAGATGAACACCCTCTTCCGTTTCTGGTCCTTCTTCCTCCGTACCAACTTCAACAAGAAGATGTACGATGAGTTCAAGAACCTTGCCGTGGAGGACGCCAAGCAAGGCTACCGCTACGGACTGGAGTGCCTCTTCAGGTACTTCAGCTATGGTCTGGAGGTCAAGTTTAGACCAGACATCTACCAGGACTTCCAGCTGGAGACGTTAAGGGACTTTGAGTCAGGTAGGTTTTAACCTGTTACCATGCTGGTAGGTGTTTCACAAAGACTAAGATCGACTTTAAGTTGGACTTAACTATGGCAGGCTGTTCATGTTACTGGTTGCTCTCACCATTGGTCTCTCAATTATGATCTTTAGATAATATTTTTCCCTCAATAATGAATTATCAAAAAATGTAAATTCTGTAGATTGTGACCTATTTTTTGTATGTCCATTGTGAGAGCAATGCCAGTAAATGGTGAGAGAAAATTGTGGCATTAATGGCCTGCCATAGTTAAATCCAACTTAAAGTCGATCTTAGTCTTTGTGAAACACCCCCCCTCCCCCCGGTGTAGAAGGAGCAATGAAAATTATCGGAACATATTGAACCTTGGTACAACTTACCTTAGGCTACGAGAAAACACAGAAATGGGCCCAGCAAAATGACCATGTTAGATGAGAGTTTGTTGGAAAAGTGTCCTTTATATTGGGGTTATATAATTGGTTCAGTCTGGCCTTTGGTAGTGATAACTTTGCTATGTATGTTGTAGAAATCAATTATAGATCTCGCTGCCTTTGTGTTGTGGATTGTTGACAAGTAACTGGAGGCCATCACTATCCGTAAATCACCAAGTTCAATACCGAATTCAAAAATTCTTGAAATGAAAGATGAAAGACTCCAGGGGAATATATTCCATGTGCCAGGAAATTCGACTGATGCTCCTTTTCATTATCAAAATAGGAACTGTTTGTTGTTGAGGAATTGAACTAATGACTTTGCATTGGAAAGCAACTATTGAAAAGAGAAGAGGTGGAACCTGTAATGGACAAAGTATGATTCGCATGGTTATTAGTTTATTGTGTCATGTACCCTTTCTCTACAGGACAACTGTACGGCCTGGAGAAGTTCTGGGCCTATCTGAAGTACTCCCGATTGAGAGAGCTGACCACCTTGCCCGAGTTGGATGAGGCACTCAAGAAGTACAGGGGACTAGAGGACTTCCGAGTGGAGGTACGTCTGGGACCTGTTTCACATAACTTGTCATCAGTGACAAATGACAGTTTTTGTTAAAAGCTACTGAAATCCTTGCTTCTGATTAGTTGTCAACAGATTTGTCACTGATTTTTGTCATTTGTCATTGAAAAAAGGCTTTGTGAAACGGGTCCCTGATCTTTAATTGCAATTTTCTGTCTGACTCAGCAGGACAACCTGGATAATTGCTCATTTTGTCAAATCCTACATTTATGTGTCTTTTACCGTTTCGCCCTCACCCCCTAGATTCTCATTTCAAATCGAAGAAAAATGTTAATATTGTATAGGATGTATAGGTTGCCAATAGTATTTAGGTAGACAATTTAGGTTAAAGTGGAATGTCATATTAGATTATTATTTTGTCAAACTGGGCTGGATCAGTAAATGTTTGAGCAAGAAAGATAAAAAATAAAATAAAATGGTTACAGACAAACAGTCAATTTTTCAAATTGTTTGATGTTACATATTTGAATTGATACGTGAACGGTTCTTGTTTTGTCTTGTCTTTTGCAGCCCTCTATCAGTGAGAACAAGAAGTCTGGTGGGCCGTCTGGGGATGCCAAGAAGTCCAGACCCAGCCGCAGCAGGCAACAATCTACATCAGATCAACAACAGAGCACTCTGGAGGCCCAGGGTGCCGTCGGGGGTTCAGGTGCTGTCGGGGGTTCGGAGGAATGAATAATATCACGCAATTCATTCGCTTCATTTGGTACTAGCACACTGTCACACCGCAGTGGTACCCGCCATGGAATCAATCGTCTGGACAGCAATGTAGCCATTGAGGGATTTGGTGTCAGTATTGCCGTTGGTGATTTAATAAGCCAGTTAGCATGCAGTGTTCCAAATCATCAAAACTGATCTTGTTAGCAATATCTATGGCATGTTTGTGAACAGGAACAGACCAGTGAGCGTGCAGTGTTCCAAATCATCAAAACTGATCTTGTTAGCAATATCTATGGCATGTTTGTGAACAGGAACAGATACTAAGTGGAGTCATCTAGTTGGCATGAAGTTTGAGCTTCACGGTTCAATACCAGGACTGGTTACATACTTGCCGTCTTCAACTCTGGACTTCTCATGAAGACAAGTTATTTCTAAGTGGTAAGAACTCCATTGTGATACAAAGTGAAAAGTGGATATTCTGGGGTCAATCACAGGAATTCAGTTTCTACGCCACCGAATATGAAGACAATTTGGCGCTGATGGGTCCTTGCATGTTTGCTGGCCAGAGAGTCTTATGCTGCCATGAAATCAATACATGGCTACACCGAGTAGTAAGGCATCACCATGAAGCAGAAGGCTACCATCATCATAGCATGAAGGCAACTGATCTTCTCCTCACCTCGACTTCAGCAGTTGCCTATTCGCTCGTAGTCATTCACTTAAGTTTGTGTAGACATCCCAGATAATGTATCTTAGTGGGCAGAGTGTGAATATGTGCTAAAAAGAAGATTCCCCATGCATAGCAATACAGCACAGATCTTACCCACGATGAAACCTGGGTAGAGTCTGACGAAACCGTTGAAAGTACAAGTTTCCCGATATCCCATTTAAATGCGTGTTTTAATAGTGTTTCAATGGGATATCGGTGTGCTTATGATGGATTCGTGAACAATGCCCTGATTCTCTGCGTTAGCCCTTCTGCTCAATAGCTTGCGACTAGCTTGTAGCGTCCATGTTTCTGTCTGTGTGTGTAGCTATCACAGAGACAGAGAGATTAGTTAGACATGCCAATCGGATAGATATTTCCCTGTGAGTTCTTTGACCCTCTTTGCATAGCTGTGTAGGTAGCTTAGATCCTATCTGATTATTACAAGCAAAACCATTATGATGGAATGAGTACCCTGCTCATTCTAATGAATCCTTGGAACGCTTGAAAATGAACTTTTGCCAAAGGTAGATCATACCCTTACATCGCCCCATATTGGAGTCAAAGTATATCATGTACCCGCTTCAGAAACTTTTCTGATTTGACAAGGAAAAAAAATGGTAAGATGTTATATTTGAAGTTGTATTATAAATCTAGTTTTCCAACAGCAATAAATGTTTGTGTTTGGCGGTTTTTCAGATAAATCTCTGATCTATCCGCCTGAGTTTGATTTCGTACCAGGGTTTAAGAAAAATGGATTCAAGGCTCAGTAATTCTCGTAGGACATAGCCACTTCAGGCTTGTTCGTATATGCTCCGCTGAACCGTGGTGGTTTACCCTGGCAGTTTTTTGTGTTACACTTGAATTTTAGGTGGGGATGAAAAAAGGAACTGGTCCTCCGCGTACTCACTTAAAAGTGTTATGAGATACAAAAATGTGAAGAATAAAACCCCTGCGGTAAACTGCCACAGTGCACAGTGGTAAATGTGAATAACCTTTATTAAAGCAGACTCCAGAAATTCACTCAATTCCCTTTCTTTAGTGATTTGATCAAATTCTCAGGTTAACTTGGCCTAGATTATGTTAGATGGTAACTCCAAACCCCCCCCCCCCCCCCTCACTAGTTTAGTGACAACCTACCAGAAGAGAACAAAAAAAGTACTTACAAAGCATAAATATAAGTAAATATATTCGTTTCGTCCTGGGCATCGTCCTGTCAATATATATTATGTACTTGGACCCTTATTATGCTGCAATTCTTGTTAAGTTTACATTAGTTTTGCTTGTTTATATCTACTCGGCAGTTATGTAATTCATTGTTATAGTGCATGGCTGCAGTCCAAATTATGCTAAGATGGGAAATGGCTCGTTAAGCCACAGGAATTCTGTAGCAGACTTTAGTTAAAGAGGATTTTTTTTGTCGTTTTTTTGTTTTGTTAATGAAACTACTGAGAAGGTATGTAATTTAAAGATTTTTTCCAGCACAGAATGTGTTGCTGTCAGATGTTATTAAGCAATTCTAGGAATACAATGAGAACTTATTATTAAAATGGGATGAAATCCAAAAGCAGTAATTTTGCTATATATTTAAAAGCTATATGTCAGCAATAAGAATTTTTGTTGTTGAAAAGAGCTACCAAGAGATGCTGTGATTAGTCCTCCAGAACATTCATCAAGGTCATTAATAATATGATTTCAGATATTTAAATATAATTTCTCTAATAATCATACTGTGTCTCATTTTCTAAATTTGTTTATGAGCCCTTTCATGATACTGATAGCAGTATATAACATTTTATTTCATGCTTAAAATATATCATTTTTGGAAGGAAAAAACAGGAGTAAAATAAAGAAAAAAATTCCCTCTCTTTTATGCCGCTAATAAAGGTGGTGTCGGAGGCATCATTTTATTTACCCTTTCTCTTATTTTAGGTCTCGGTTAGATTGAAGACTTCTTTTGGTGTGAATGTAAATACTTAGGAATTTATACGCATATAAAAAGAGATATTATAATAGGACAATTTTAGTTAAAATGCCACCAAGATGTACTTGTTTATGTCCACTGTGTGGAATTAGATTAGCCATCACATAACCGTCTTGAAACGTTCTATCAAGTTATAAACATTCCCTCGATCAATTTTATTACAATATTTTTTGTAGTTTCTAGCTTTACAAACTATTTGAGTTCTCATATAAAACACTCATTTCATTTTCATGGTATTTGCAATTTTTATGGCATTTTCTTGCTCAAGCTTTTATTAGTTAGTGGTGTGTATTCATGAGGCATATCTTATGTGTTGACACGGAAAGTACTTGGTTTGAGGGTCCTTTTTTTTGCAAAATGTGCAAGATGAATAGATCATAAATATCAAGCAATTACATTTTTTTTAAGGTATTGATTAGATTCATAGATTTATGAATGATTAGAAATTTTAATTGGGTTTGGGAGCTAGATTCTATGTTTTATTTGAGGACAGCATACAATAATGTCTAAAATATATGTTTTTCTTAATGAAACTGCAAGAAAGCATATTTATTTTTATTTTTAAATTACAAGCTATATTCACCTTCACAAAGTATTATGCTATAGAGTTTGTTATGGTCAGGAATATAGAATGAAAAATGCTGGCTCCGGGAGTTTGTTTTCTTCTTTTTTTCCTTCAAGGTAAACAAGGGAAGATAAAATGTTGAAATCACTTTTTTTTAATGAAAACAGTGATAACCGTTAAAAGCAGATGTGCTTTTCAAAAATTGTTTTAAAACATGTTTTTTATTGGCAAGGCTTCTGAGAAGAATCATATGGGGGAAAAAAAATGTAAAGGGAGGTTTGTTTGGATTTTTTTCTTATAACTTTTATCCATATGTGTTCCTGCTTATACTAAAGATTGTTAAATAAATGCGATCAAAATTTCTATTGGGGACGTTTAAAATGAAGTTGATACTAGTGCAACAAGCCCTTAGTTTTATTTTGTTCCTGTTAAATAAGGGTGCAAATATAAAGGAATAGACTTTTTTTGAAAGCAGGACAGTTTGTCCATTTAGTTATAGTGTTTTAAATGATGCAAGATCTTTAATGGTTTGAGGGGAATGAAAAGAAGGGGAAAAAAAGAGAAAAAGATGATTTGAAATGTAATGTGCATAGTGTATATACTGCAGAATGACTAAATTATGTAATTATTCTTTTAGAAAAATATGTTGATGTTTGAATTCCTGCATTGGCTTGTTAGTATACATGTAGTTGCGAAATATTTGACAGTATTTTATCCAAATAGGGAGAGAGAAAAAAATATGAAAAAAAAACACAATGGAGTGATGTATGAACATTTGCCTTGCATGATTATATATTGAATTCTTACAGAAGTATTTTGAACTTTTTACATCTTCCTATAACAAGACTTGTATTTTTTCTGTAAATAATGCTTTTTCTGGTGGTGATTTTACTGTGATTTCTTTTGGTGATATTACAATATCTTTTTGACTGGAGTATTACTATTATAGTATAGTTGTGGGTTTTTTTCTCATCCGTTGAACATTTTAAATTCTTTATCATGTATGGGGAATATATTTTTCAAGAAAAAATTTATCACATGTTGTTTGTTCAAAGAATTTAATTGCATTAAAAATAAAAGTGAGTTGTCTTTTATGCACTATTGAAAAGCATGTGTAGTTAAAACAATAGAAAAAAAAGAACAAAAATAAATTTGCAAGCAAAAAAAAAATAAGTTTGTAGGAATATAAATAAAAAAAGAGACTAGACATTGATATACGTATATAATTATGAGTAATGTGATATTGATGGGTGTGTTTATCAATTCATATAAATTAATTCCTTGTTTCTATTTCTACTGTAGATCATGATCTGTCTGTTAATTTACCATTTACTTGGATACCTTGTTTGGACTTTGTGTATGGTTTAATTTTCTGTCACATGTTCTCCTTCCGCTTTCATGCATATTCATATTTTATACTGTGCAATGGTGAAATTGGATATTACACTGGTACATTGTATCTGTGGCAGCTTATACACACATATATGTTACCCGAGTGTAAGGTTGTCAAGGCAAGAAACTTGATGACAACTATGATAAGGCATGTTACATGGTATTCGCGACTTATTCAGTAATATTTGATTCTCATGGACTAATCACTTCAGCGTATTAGAAGTATAATCTCCAGTTTGGAACAAATTTTCTCTCGTTAGATGCAAACATCTGAAGGACTGATGTTCTTATGCAATTGTTGATTTGATTGATGCAATCACATTTCATACACTCCACCAAAAAAAAAAATTGATTTCTCTGGAACATTTTATTCAGATTTTTTAACATATTGCCCATCATTATTGAGATGTGGGATTTTAATTCAAGGATAATTTGAAGGGAAAAAAACTCTTTTAAAAGAGCATTCATTTATATCAAACTTTACTAACTATATTTAAAAAAAGAAGAGTTTCATTTCAATTTGTATATTCATTGTTTTAGGTGCCATCTTCATGTTTTTGATTTTTAATTTTTATTTTCAGTTTTTGCTATCTGTGTGAATGCGTGATTTTGTCACTCGCTGCTACATGTAAGTCTTGAGATCTGAATGATCCGGACTAAAATTTCTGCTCCGGACATCGCACCAAGCACATTGCTTCTATTAAAGACTTCTCAACATGCAATGCTCACATCATTGTGAATATTGCTGTAAAAAGAAAGTTATTTTAGAATGTTTTTTTTCCTAGTAGTGGCTTTGAGTGCAGCTAGCCAATGGAAGTTTCCAGTTGAACTTGTTTTAAGGGGATTGATATTTCTGGTTGGCTAATATTCCAATAAAAATTTAAAAAATGTTTTCTGTTTGTGCCTTTCTCATAGATTTTACAAATTACATCTTAAACCAGGGTCATGGTGAAGTGTTTCTAAGAGATGAAGCTCCTCATGTTTCTTTTTCCACCATCCATTTTCATCCTTGTGTACTACTCATCAAAATGTTATCTTGTATCTGTAATTTGCCATTCTCCCAGATTTTAATTCTTTTGTTTATATCGGTTGCTAAAACTTCCTAAATTCATGTAGGTAGTTATTTTCGTATATGAGTGCACTTTTTTCTGTTTGCTGTTGTATTTGAATGCAAATTCACTTTTAGTACTTGCTTCCACCCCATTTCTTCATACATTTATCTTGAGAAAAAAAAAAATATATACTTGACAAAAAAAAAGTTCTAAAACCTTTCTAAGCACTATTTTATCTTGTTATGATGTATATGGTGGGAAATACATGTACCAATATACGTAAAGTTTACAATTATATGGGATTGATTAAGAGGATTTCTTGGCTAATTCAAATATACGGAATTCATTTACTTTCTCGAAGATGGTAATTCATATCAATGTTTCATTGTAGCCTTTTATTTACCATATTTAGTTTGATGGTAAACAAAATGAATATATGTAAATATAATAAAAATTACAAAGTTGTTATGCCTCTTTATTTCGACTCGGAAGTTGTTTATGTGTTGAGAAAGAGTGAAGCAGTTGACCTATTGTAAAATTAGTGTGTTAAAGGTATTACAAAGTTTTGGTATGGGGTCATGAACTTAGTTCATATGAACATATTGGAAACGTATGCTATCCTACAATATTCAGTGATCGTTGTTGTGGTTGAAATCGAGTCTAAAGTTATGAAACTCTTTTCGTTGTATAGCTACCTCTAAAGGTCGAGATATTAATTTAGCTATAAAACGTTTGACTAAAATCAACCGATTGTCTATTCTGAGATTTTCATGGTCGCAGCTACCATTGTATGGTCATAGGCGCTATTTGAACATTATTAAAATTTACAGGGGCTAAATTTTCTAGTGCTCATAATACATCCACATGGGCATCAAAATAATTCAAAATTGTAAAGAA